GACAGCAGAAAGTCCACAGCTCAGGTCGTCTCCCTCCTTGCTGTTTCCCTTCCTAGTCATAGGCCACCAGCGCAGTCGTTCCTGCAGCCCTTGGTGACCAGGGCTGATCTTTTAGTCAATTCTCAGGTCCCGACACCACTTGGAAATATTCAGGCTGTTGGTCCCATCAGAGTAGCTGACAGTCCACAGCTCCGACTGTCTCTGTACTCACTGTTTTCGTTTAGGTTTTTCCACTGGTTGGTGCCTAATCCACTTCTGTATAGTTCCTTTCAAAGCTCAGGGTTCCAGGATTATCTTCTGTATCTCTGTCAATTGGTTTTTCTTTTCTTTGTTGAAGAGGGTCTGTGTTGCTTGTCTGCCTATACCTCCATCTTACTGGAAGTCTTAAGAAGTGTGTTGTGATGGGCTCTTTTAGTCCTCCCAAGTACTGGGGCAGGTACTGTTTATGTCCCCATTTTAGAGATGAGGAAACTGAGACAGTGCCAAGAAGTGATTTGGGCAGGACAGAGCTCTTCAGTAGTGGAGCTAGACTTTGAACCTAGGTCTAACTATGGCCTTTAGCACAGACATGCCATCTGTGCCCCAAAAGTGGGGCTGGAGGACATGACTGAACCTGGGCCAGGAAAGTGATGCTGAAACCAGGCTTGAGGGAGAGGTGGGAGCTGGGCAGGCAGGGGAGAGAGGGGCAGGGTGTTCTGGAGAAATCATGAAGGAAACCCAGAGGAACTGGAACCAAGAGGAGAGAAGGCAGGATCCCTGAGGCTGGAGAGGGGCTGGGCTGCTCTGTAGAGCCTGTGCATGGGCTCCTAGTGCTGGTGCTGATGTCTGGGCAGTGGGGCCATTTGCTCAGGGCTGCATTTGAGGAGGGAAGCTAGGCTGCTTGGGGGTAGAATAGACAGGAGGTTGGTGGGAATGGAGGCAAAGGGTGAGGAGGCTGAGGCAGAGAGGATGTGGCCCAGACGAGGATACTGGCAGGGAGAGCTCCAGCCCCAGAGCTGAGTGGTGGTGGGATGGACAGGGCGTGGGGTGCATTGGAGAGAGGGGAGCAGAAGGAAGCCAAGGCGATGGCCAGGCTACTAATCCTTGGTTTCCAACTTGTGCATTCCAATCACCAATGCATCTCGATTGCATTTTTGATTAATTTCATGCTGCAGAAGTTGGTAAAGATATTTAATTTCTTCATCTTTGGCATTAGTGTTTGGTGTGTAAATTTGAATAGTCATATTAACTGCTCTTTGTAGGCATATGAATATCATCCTATCATTGACAGTGTAGTATTTCAGCATAGATGTTGAAATGTACTTTTTATGATGAATGCAATACCATTCCTCTTCAATTTGTCATTCCCAGCATAGTAGACCACGTGATTGTCTAATTTAAAATGGCCAATACCAATCCATTTCAGCTCACTAAAGCCTAGGATATTGATCTTTATGTATTTCATTTTATTTTTCTTGGCTTCCAGTTTTCCTAGATTCATACTTTGTACATTCCTCATTTGTTTCAATTATTAATGGATGTTTGCAGCAGTGTTTTTTCATTTTTAATCATGCAACATCAGCAAATGCAGGTCCCAAAAGCTTTCCTTCACCGAATAATAAATCTCAAGTATTGTTTTTAACTTTGTTTCCATTCTCAAAAATTCTTTTCCAAAAAAAAAGTTGTTCCCTCTAATTTCATTTTCCAGTGCTTAATCCATTTCTCAGTTAACATGCTTTGCTAAACACATTTTTCTTTATCAAAACATGTATTCTAGAAACAACATCTCAAACCTCTGGTTTTCTAGGTGGCAAAATCCAACTTGCAAGCAGATGAATTAAATTCTTCTCTGGAGCAACTGAAAAGCAAGATAGAAACCTGTCGCAGCTCGAGAGAGAAAAATGTAAGTGCTAAGTCATTGCCAGGCAGTGAATTGCAAGGATGCATCATACTAGGACCATAAACTTGAGATTGACCTGACATCTTTTTTCAGGATGTGTTTAGGATGTCTCCAGCACCAGGGTGCCCTGGGAGCCTTCCCTGGAATCAAGAAAGAGAAGGAAAACTAGCCACTCCCCACCCCAACAGCCCCAGGCAAGCATGTAGTGTCCAGTGAAGATGGAGGCTTGAGTGTGGCTTCTTTTGACCTCATTCTGCCTCCCCCTATGACCAGGTGTCCTGGCTGTGATCAGATTTCAGCCCTACATGAATCCGTCCTGCTTTCTCTCTGGCTTTTCATTGGATTCTTTAGATCTTAGCATAGAAGCTGGCTACTTCTGTTCTTTATGCAGAAACCATGGACAGAGTGAATCAGTGCAAAGTTTGGGAGAAGTAAGATTCTTTGTAGGAGCTCTGGTAGCATAGTGCCTAAGGCTCTTGACTGCTAACCAGAAGGCTGGCAGTTCCAACCCACCAGCCACTCCTCGGAAGGAAGGTTGGGCAATCTACTTCCGTAGTGATACCATCTCGGAAACCCAAGGAGGGGTCACTATGAGTCGGGTCTGACCCAACGGCACATGACAACAGCAACACCAACAAGTGCCCACCAGATCCCTGACCAGCACTGTGGTCTCAGGATGCTTCTGTGCTTGTCCTTCGGCCACTTGTGCTTGTCTCTGACCCCACTCCACAGGCCCTGGCCACTCTGAGCAGGCTTTCCTCAGATGCTTAGCCAGGCGCTCTGAGTGCCAGGGCCCTAGCCCAACAGGCTTCTTCCTCGGCACTGTCTCCTCTTCCACTTCAGTGACTCTGAGTTGTGGTTTTATGGTTATTGTAACTGAAAGAACATTGATTTTTCTCTTTCTTGCAAAGTAGTGCATGCTTCTGTTAAAAAGTTCAAATGATCCCCAGAGGACAGAGTAAACAGTGAATGGTCCTGGTGTTATTCTCAGTGTCTAGCAGAAGCAGTCTGACCCACGTCACCCATTTCTGCCCGTCTGTCTGTGCCTTCACTGAAGCCACTTGCACTGCAGTGGGGATGTGCAGGGGAAGGTGTGTCTCCATACTTTGCCCTTGACTTTCCTGGTCTCCCTTAGAAGCCCCCATCCACTGGGAAGCAGAGGACAAATGGTTAATCTGACTTGATCCTTCCAGCAGCTCTGTAGGGAAAGCTCTGCCCCACCAAGTAGAAACGTTTTGTCTCTCAGATTTTCTCACTGCCCCCTGCCCTGCCCTCTCCAGATACTGCCAGGGTGTAGATGGGGTGCAAGGGAGCCAGGTGAGGGGAGCATAAGCTTGTGTGCCAGCCGGCCTGTGCTGATGGAGGAGACTGGTCCAACACCGTTGCAGAGTAGTGATTAGACCAGGTGGTTAGGAGACATCAGCGAGGTGTTGGATACTCGGTGGAGGTGTGTACTCCACAAGGACTTGGATACTCCTTGGGCGTGTACCTCTGGCCATGGTCTGTGGGGCCACTGCTCCAAGGAGGGCTGGGGAACACATTAGGCCTGATAATGGGAGTAGCCACGTTGCCTTCCAGAAAGGCTGTGGGAGTCTCATCCAACATGCCCTTGCCAGTCTTGGGCCAAACATTTCCTCCTAAAGCAATAAACATACACCGTTAAAGTGAAAGAGACCCTAGCTGGAAGAGACACGTTTTATGAATCCATGTTGCAGATGGGGAGGCCGAGTCCAGCAAGTCTAAATCATTCGTCCAGAAATGAACCTGTAGGCCCAGGAACTGAATGCCCAATGCCCACGTCAGCGCTGGGTCTGTTGACCCTACGCAGTGCCTGAGAGAGCGAGTCCAGCATCCCCAACCCCAGGGCCCACCCTGCACATGAAGGGCCTCCATGGCAAGGAGGCGAGCCAGCTGGGACTTGAACCCCAGACTTGTCCATGTTCATGGGCTGCATCCTCATGGCTTTCTTCTCTGTGTTATCACTAGACCGTGAGCGTAGAGGACGTCCTCAACTTTGTCCGAAGTTGGATCGCAAAGATGAGCCAGAGAGTTCGGTACCTGCACTGCCACCTGGATCTGGTGACTGTGACTCAAGTGGTGTTCACTGTAAGGACTGTTGATCTGGGATCTGGGACCTACAGGGCTCAGCAGGGCTGAGGGGGAGAGAGGCCTACTGGGAGGCCTTGGAAACCATAGCCTATGGAATCATGTTGTTGTTGTTGTTGTTATGTGTCGTCGAGTCGGCCCTGACTCATAGCGACCCCTCCTTGGGTTTCTGAGGCAGTATCACTACGGAAGTAGATTGCCCAACCTTCCTGCTTGGGGTTCCAAGAAAGTCCCTTGCCTGGGCAGTACCTCCTCATCTTTGTCAGGAACCTCAGCTTACCCCAGCCACTTGACTCTCAGGCTGACCCCACTGTCTCTTCCTTGCCACTCACTCATGAGCAGCCAAGCCCCCCATCCCTGCACCACTGGGCTGCCTGTTTCAAGACCGTAAACCCCAAGAGGGCAGAGCCCACAAGGCCCTCACTCCATGCCCACAACTCACTGAGGCTTTGCACACAGGAAGTGCTCAGTGGATTCCTGGGGAGGGTCACAGGGCCAGTGGCGTAAATGGGATGTCCCTCAACTTCTGTGCTAGCCACCCTCCACTCCTTATCTCTCACAGTGAGGCTTAGAACTAGTCCTGCTACTGGGAGACGCTTTCCTGCAACCAACATTAAGATCCATTGCACATCCATCACTGTGTCAGATTCTAGGGGTCTTGCACGGGTCTTTCCCTTGAAGGGCTTATAGTTCATCACGAAGACCAGACACAGAGTAAAATAGGGAACAATATAACTAAATGCTAATTGTGGGTCACCAATTCGACCCTTTCTCTGAGACTCAACTCATGGAGAAATTAGCCAGTCACTCATCCATTCATTCATTCATTCATTCATCTGTTTGGTCAAAAACACTGCCCTGGCATATCTTTGGGGATAGCCTCACAGACCTTCAATCTTTAGTCTCACTTTAATTTCACAGAAGATGCTGGAACATCTCTTCATAGCATCAATCACAATTTTGACCAAACATTTCTTTGGATAAGTGCATGGTGAGTGTCTTCCCCTGACTAGAGTCTAAGTTCCATGAGGGTAAGAGTCATGTGTGGCCTCTTCACCACTGTGGCCCCAGGACCCAGGATGGAACCTTGCAAAGAGCAGACGTTCAGGAAACATTTTTGGAGTCACTCATGCATACGTGAATGAATGAGGGAACACCACTTTAAGGGGAGAGATGATCATCACCATGTCCTAGAAGAGAAGAAGACTCAAAGAGGGTAGGGCCTCTCTCCAGCCACAGCACGCATGGAATGGGTCTGAGAAGTGGATCCAGGCCTGCCTGCTTCCCCAGCTCTTAGAATGGTCCTCAGACACACTGCCTCTCCTCTTGGCCCACAGGACAACATTGTGACTGACCCAGAGGTGGAGAGTGACCATTTGGTGTCATCAGAAGTCCTTGAAGAAGAGGCCAAGGTGGACATGGTCACCCCAGAATCCTTTGCCCAGCCCAGCCGTGTGGGGAGGTCCATGATTGAGGACCCAGTAGTGGAGGTGGTCAAGAGGATCCTACAGTGAGTGGCCCTGGGTGCATAGCAGGGCCCTGTATTGTAGCTTACAGTCCTGAGCCTTCAGAGGCCCTCTGTGAGGTCTCACACCCCTGGGTTTATATGGGAACCCCACCCCAAGAGCCTCTGCCCTCGGGCATGGGGCTTGATCTCATGAAGAGTCACTTTCCTCGTAAGGACCGACTTATAGTGCTGATGACTAACCAAGGTGGAGTCCAGCACCTGTCCCCGAGTTGTATCATAGGCACTTCCGAAAAGCTTATGTTCTTTTGTTTGGTTTCAGAATTCCCAACACAAAAGCCTCAGGCCATCTGTGTGAAAGAGATGTATCTCAGACAGGTAACGCCAAGGGGCCTGGTGGTCTCTGGGCAGCTGGAAGTGGGGAAGTGCGGCGTCGCGTGGCCCCTCCTCACAGCCCGTCTTCTGCTCTTGTCCTGCGTACTCATCACCCAAAGGCTTGAAACGACCTGGGCGCAGGAGGGAGAACTCCCTGAAGAAGGCCTTGTCTGCTGCCAGTGCCACTTCAGTGGGGAGGTAGGGACACTGGGCTGGGCCCCTTCCCCCAGCCAAAGCTGTCCTGAGATCTCCCTTTCTCAGACCTCAACCAGAGAGGACCTCCTTGCTTCCCCAGACTGCTCTCAGAACGCAGTCCCTGTGATCTGGCTCTGAGATGCCGACACAGCATTATTAGGCCTGAGCTTGTTCCTGCGGAGTGAGGTCTTCCATGCAGGCCTCCCATCTGGGGAAGGTGTCTGGGGGTTTAGTGGTGTTCGGTGGTGACAGTTGATGTTCTGAATCTCTGTCACACTCCCACACCTCCTCATGGTTAGAAAGAGGGACCACTGAGCCATGGAGCAGACGGTTCTCCTTGAGTAACATGACAGAACCCACAGGAGGAGTCCTATGTCCTGGTGGTGTGCTTTGTTTCTGAGCTACCACCAGGACCACTCAACTCATAGCTCTGTGAGTGTGGGCCTGTCTAACATGCGGCCCGGCCTCCAGCTGGCTGACCCCTGCACATAGATTTTACATAAGGTGAGTACCAGGAGCCACACGACTGAACTTTCCGAGCCTTCTACACACCATGGTTAGTGTTGTTTAATATGAGGTTGTGTGAAAGCAAGAGAAACTCCTGCTTGGTTGGAAAACATTGGGTTCCGGAGAAAATACAGACCTCCCTGTGCAACACTGGGCAAGTTGTTGTGTGGCTCTTGGTTGCCAGTGAGTTGTTTCTGACTCCTGGCCACCCCGTGTGTGCACAGAACTGCTCCACAGGATTTTCAAGGCAGTGACCTGTCAGAAGCAGGTTTCAGGCCTGTCTTCCGAGATGCCTTTGAGTGGTGTCAGATTGCCAACCTGTTCTGGTTCCCTAGTGCCACTCTGACAGGAAGTATACCACAAACGGGATGGCTGTAACAAACAGGAGTTTATTCTCTTACAGTTTGGAGACTTTAAGTCCAAGTTCAAAGTGGGCTCTAGGGGCTGGGTGAAAGCCCCTCAGCCTTGGGCTTCAACTCTGCCTCCTGCTCCCGGCCCACTGAAGCTGGAGGCTTTTCTTCACTCAGACAGCTGCTGGCTGCTGAGACTGACAAGCCCAAGGTTGACAAGTAAAAAGGCGTAGTCCCAATGTTACCAAACCACATGGCAGGCCATTAATTCAAGTCCACTGTAAGTCCCAAGGTCAGCAGAGCATGGCAGGCTGCTGAACAGTGACATGGCTACATGTGGGGTCCAAGCTTGCCCTAAGCTAGAGATCATTCCCAAGGCTTCTCCTTATATGCAGGAAGCAGACCATATCCCAAAGGCAGCTACTCAACTGCTTGTGGTAGATCCCACCATGGAGTTGATTGCCAGTCTCATCATGGGGAATAACCACCACCAGCTGCCCAGCCACTCAACCAGGCCCAGCCAAGTTGACACACAAATTTAACTACCACACAACCCTTCAGCTCATTGGTGCTTGTGCCACCCAGGCACTCCTCATCTGGGACACAACGTGGCTCTGTTGCTTGTCGGAAGTTCACACCTAACAAGGCACTGGGCATCCATTCCATTTGCTGAAGCAGCGACCGTGCGTGTGGCTCAGCCGCTTCTCTCGCACATTTCTGGGCCAGGGGACTCTGCCCCGCTGCCGTCTCAGTGGCCTCGGCTTGGTTTATCAGTTTACAGTTTCTTTACCAGTAGGATGTCTTCCGAGCCACTGAAGAGGATGGAATTATCTGGAAGTGTGCAGCCTCAGGAGGGAGAAAGGCTGCCCCATGAGCAGACCCATCCCTTCCACGATCCAGGGTGGGGGTGGGGCCCCTGAGGCTGCCCTCTGGTTGCTGTCTGTCCTCCGTCTCCAGGGCACTGACTTGCCTTTGTCCCACAGCGTCGGCCGGCACTCCAAGCACAACCGAATGGACAAGAAGTTCCAGGTGCTCGGGGATAAGCCACCGCCTCCAGCCCAGTAAGTGTCCCATGGCTTTTCCTTTAACTGCATTTAACTTGTTTTAGTCAAGGGGCACCTAAACTGGGCTCAGCTAGGGGGCTAATGAGAAGGGGTGGAGCACAAAGCGGGGGCAGAGGTAGGGAAGGGAAGACAGTTAAAGGTCAAGATCAGTTTGTCTCCAGCCATTTCACCTCAATTTTTTTATTTTATTTTATTTTATTGTGATTTGGGTGAAAGTTTACAGAGCAAATTCACTTTCCATGCAGCAGCTCACATGCACTTTGTCTCATGACATTGACCACAATCTCCCACAATGCAACAGCTCCCTTCCCACTTCCTCCCCATAGTTACCTCTTCCCTGTGTCCATCCCTCCGTGCACTCCTGCCCCCTGAGCTGTCTCCCTGTGCATACACAGCCCTTCTATTTTCCCATGATTGATCTCTCCAAGGAGTATATCTACCTGATGTAAATGTCCAGCTCTTATGCCTGTCTGTTGTTTGGCTGGAAGCCACAGGAGTAGGTTCAGTTCCAGACCTGAAGGGCAGCTAGGGGCCATGGTCTCAGGGGTTCCACCATCTCCTGGATTTTTTGAGTGACAAACCATTCACCAAAATGCCACATTTTCCAAGTCAAGTGTTTCACAGGTGGTAGGCAGCACCTCCTTTGAGGTTTGTTTTTATAAAATTTTATTTTTTTTTGCCCCACTTCTTTTTCCCCTTTTAAATTTCAGTGATTGAACCAAAATCTGTTTCACTTCATATGGCTTCATTTTAAGCAAACAAGCAAAATTTCAAGTTTACCAAATGACAATCACTGGGAGTTCTGGTGGTGCAGGGCCTAAAGCATGTGACTGACCCATCACCTACTTCTCGTAAGGAAGGTTGGGCAATCTTCTTTCATAGAGATAGACCTCGGAAGCCCGAGGAGGGGTTGCTATGAGTCAGAACTGACTTGATGGCAGTGAGTTTGGTTTGGTTTTGGGTTGGAAACATATCAAAAGCTATAAAGGAAATCCACCCCCCCCCCCAACTAAGGGATACCACAGTCACAGCGCCCCTTGCCTGCCCGCCTTTCACCCCTTGGTGTTTACCCGTGGGATTCTGTGAACCATGCCCAGTAGGGTGCCTATTACACTCCGGTGGCAAATATATACAAAACATCTACATACTTAACTTTTCTGGTATTAGTTTTCCTCCTTATCTTTCAGTATATTTCTAATTTTTTAATTACAATCAATAAGTTTTAAAATCAAAAGATCAAATAACTGGTGGGTATCAATTTTAGAAGCTTGGCCGACAGTGATGTGTGTTTACAGCGGTCAGCGCATCACTGTATCTTTACAGACAAACAGCCCATTGTCCTGGAGCCACACCAGGTGTGAGGCACCTGTCCCACATTTCACTCTTACTTTTGATAGCTGACATGCTGAACCTGACTGTCCACCACTCTGTGAACACGTGCTAAACGAGGCCCTGGAGAGCATGCAATCAGCCTAAGAGACAGGGTTTCCAGAGGAAGGCAGTTTGGTCCCATTCATTTTATTAATATTCCTATAAAACATTCTTTCTTCTTTAAATAAATACGAAGGCCCTGACAGGTGCAGGGCTGTGCCAAGGTGTCCCTGTGGGCTTTACAGTCGGCTGGGGGAGAGGGGGGTAATTAGTCAGTCACACAAATCATTCCCAGATCCTCTGTGGGGACGCTGGAGGGCAGAAGTGCACCATGAGAGCTTCTGAACTAGGAGGGCAGGCCGGGGCGCTGCCAGGATTTGAGAACGAGCAGCCAGCGACCAGGAGGAAGGTGAACTGTGCTCTCTGCTAAGGACTGCCTGGGGCAGGAGTGAGCAGGGACTGGGAGTGACGAAGTGCTGTGCATCAGACAGGCCAAAGGGAAGCCAAAACACAATGCAGCTTGGCAGGGCTCAAACCTAGCTAGTTACATACACTAGAGACATCGAATTTGACAAATAGAAATTTTAGGTAGAAACGTCCTTGGGCATCAGATTGTCCAACTCTGCTTCTGACTTTGCAGCTGAGTGCTGGCAAGGGACCTATTTGGTTCTGTCCATGATGGTGTGTCCAGTCCCCCGGATCCTCCTCATGTGTTTTGCAGGCATTTTAAAGGAACCATCCTGACCCTCCTGTGGGAGAGCAATGAGCAGCTGCTGATCGTCATAGAGGTGAGGGCCGGTTGGCCAATCCTCTGCACGCTACTGGCCATACCTCCCCAGCTGGCTCTGCCTCCTGCACTCTGCTGACAGTGGCTGAGCAGAAACACTGAGAAACGGGGATCCCACCCCTGACCACCATGACTCCTCAGACTCTGTCATCCTGTGTGGTGTTTTTCTTCCTGGAAACTTCATTCATTTATTTATTCAGTCACCACACATTTCTTGGGAACCATCTGCATGTCAGATATTGGATGTGCCAGCAGGAACAAGTCCAGCCTCAGGCCCTAGGAGCTTGAGCCCAGCAGGGAAGGAGACAGGCACACCAGGGCACAGGGTGACAGGCGGGTGGGCCGTGGCACCTGGCTCCTGGGAGTGTGAGCAGAGGCAAGGTGTGGAGACAAGAGCAGGGTGAGGCATGCCAGCAGTGTAGGCCAGACTCCATGGTGAGGGTCCCACCCTCTCTTGCAGGAATATTACCGCAAAGAGAGGCGCCCAGTCACCAGGCCTGACTGCATGTATGAAACCTTGGAGCAGTGCGCGGAGAACATTGGCAAGAAGATCCTGGAGTACCAGAGCCAGACAGACGAGTACCACAACTCCTGCCTCGTCGGTGGGTCCTGTGGAAGGCGGGTGTGGCATGAAGCCAGGGTCTGGATTGAGCTAGACCCGGGCCTCACTTCTGCGTAAGAGCCTCCTGACCTGGAGGTCATGGTGGGCAGCCAGGGAGCCCTCCCTGTGAAGAGCAGAAAGCGGTGGGTCCTGTGGAAGGCGGGTGTGGCATGAAGCCAGGGTCTGGACTGAGCTAGACCCGGGCCTCACATCTGCATAAGAGCCTCCTAACCTGGAGGTTGTGGTGGGCAGCCAGGGAGCCCTCCCTGTGAAGAGCAGAAATCTTGGTAAAATCCTTGGTCAGTTTTAACTGGTTGGGGCACAATGAGGAAAAACAGATGTTCACTTTTCTTGACAAATACCACTAAAAAGATGGATGTCATTGCTGCCACAGGTTGTTAACTCCCTACCGTGTGCACCTGGCCTGGGCTGGGCTCTCCCTACCGTGTGCACCTGGCCTGGGCTGGGTTCTTCCTCCCGTGTGCACTTGGCCTGGCCTGGGCTCTCCCTACCATGTGTGCCTGGCCTGGGCTGTGCTGTGCTGAACATGGTAGACACAGCTGAGTGGGGAACAGGGACAAGAAAGCAGGCAATTAGAATATACCTTGTCATTTAGTTTATTACAACATTCTAAGAACTGTGAAACATGTCCTTGGTCCCACCACCGTGTGCCGTTTTCCACGTTCCTCTGCTGGTTGTCCACAGCCATGTGTGTTTTAGGAAAAGGTGCAGGTGCCAACTGAGGCCTCTTGAGTGGTACATAGTTAACCCGCTTGGCTGTTAACTGGAAGGTTGGAGGTTGGAGTCCACCCACAGGCACCTTGGAAGAAAGGCCTGGTGATCTGTTTCAGAAGAATCAGCCACTGACGACCCTCTGCAGTCCAGTTCTACTGTGACACATGGGGGGGGTCACCATGAGTTGGAATGGATTCAATGCAGCCGTTGTAGGTCCTCATTATTACTGCTCTTAAGGAAGGGAGCCCTGCTGTTTTGGTCCTCTAGTGCCGCTCTAACAGAAAATACCACAATTGGGGGCCTTGAAAAAACAAGAGTTTATTCTCTTAGAATTTAGAAGGCTAGAAGTCCAAGTTCAAAGTACCAGCTCTAGGGGCTGGGTGAAAGCCCCTTGACCTTGGGCTTCAGCTCTGCCTCTTAGCTCCTGGCCCACTGGAGTTGAAGGCATCTCTTCACTCAGCTGCTGACTACTGAGGTTGACAAACCCAAGGTTGACAAATAAAATGGCACAGTCTCAAAATTATCAAACCACACGGCAGGCTACTAATTCAAGTCCATTAACAATTCCAAGATCAGCAGACAACATGGCAGGCTGCTGAACAACGACTCGGCTACATGCAGGATTCAAGTGCCAAAAGCTGCGGAGACCTTCCTCAGAGCTTTTTATATACTGGAAGCAGACCACATCCCTAAGGTGGCTAGCTACTCAACTGCTCCAGTAGATTCCACCATGGAGTTGATTACGTCTCATCACAGGGGATACAACATCCAGCTGCCCAGCCAAGATGTCACACAACTAGCACACCCAGGAACCACAACAGGCCTGCTGTGTTGGTTGAGAGGCAGCATGGGTAGATGGAGAGGATTAGGAGCTGGCCAGACCTGAGCTGAAGACCCCACATGAC